TGCTTCACTGGATTTACTTCACTGTAAAAGTTATGTAACTACATTAATGGTACATTAATTTATTGTTGTAGGTTTATTTTGACATTACACATGGAGATAAAGATGTGGGAAGAATTGTGATTGGTTTGTTTGGAAAAACTGTGCCGAAAACCACTAAGAATTTTGCAGCTCTAGCTTCTGGAGAGGTAAAAATTTACTCATCTTGAATAAAGGTTTCCATATGCTAATGGTTCTTCTAGCAATTCTTTATTTGTTTTCTCTGTGATCCATTGGTAGCTACTAATATTGTTTCCTGTCACTTGTCTTTTATTTCTCAAAGTGAAAATGTGTCATGAAAATTGCTGTTAAATATTGGAGAACAAGGCCTAAGTTTTTTTTTTTATTTTTTTTTTAAGAGAATAAAAGATGGTCAGTTGATTTCACTTAATAGACCTCATGCATCAATTCCTTAAAAACACTGAGATGAAAATAATTCCCATGTGAGAACAACATGAACATTGACAAGCCTCAAGTGGTGCAAATGAGGCCTAGGGTTTACTTTCTGGGAATGGAGAAGTCATATGTAAGAGCTCTGTCAATTAGCTTAACCCTTACACAACCAAGATCTTGTTAGAAATACTCCTTAGTTTTTTCCATACAATTTGTGTTGTTGGTGTGAAGAAGCTGGTATTGGATCAACTAATAATCTTCCAATTGATATTTTTCTTTATTTTCATCACTTGTCTGCTTGATTTTATATTGACTCTGTAAGGAGCAATGTAGTCTTGGTCACACATAGGATTGAAAGGGTTGATACTGATGATCTTAGGAGTTGCAGGTATTAAAAATCTTTCTGTAATTAATGGGATTATTTTTGTTTGATTTGCAAGTAAAATAGGGTTTTTTGCTCTTTTGTTTCAGAAAGGATTTGGCTATAAAGGAAGTAAATTTCACCGGATTATTCATAATTTTATGATTCAAGGTAACACATTTTAGAACTTCCATATAATTTGTTTTATCTCCCAGAGTACTGATTTGTACACTACTTCTAACAAGGTAGAACCTATAGCCATTAGTAAATTTCCAGCATATTGACTGAAGTGCTCTCCTTAATGTAACTGTTCAATCTATGATGAAAAAAAAATTGCATCAATTTGGACTTCAGTTCTCCCTTAACCGTCAAACTCCCAGAAGTGATTAATATGTAACTTCTCCCCATAATATCCATACATTATCCAGCCAACATGTAATGAGGATATTCAAACTCATCAGGTAACACCAAATTCTTGTGACTTATTTACAAGGAATGTGTAGCAGCTGGAGGGGAGAATTAACAATCAGATCCTGGGAGTTAAAGGGTTAAAGGAGTATCTGTCATAAATATAATTTTGAGAAACATCTTTTGCATGACACATTTGAATAGAAATTGGTAAATAACATTTCTTCATGAATTATGCCAATTGCTAGGGAATGCTGTATAGTGAGAACATTTTACAGTAAATAGAACCACCATAGCTCATCCCAGTTTGTGTGACCACCTTGCTGTTCCACCATGCTAGTTTCTGTTTTGGCATTAAACAAAGATGAAATAAGACTTCTCTCTTAATCCTGGAACACACAAGAGGAATTTATCACTTTAATAGTAATGTAATGAAAATCATGCTTTTATGAAAAGATAAAAAATGATTTCTTTGTTCAGGTGGAGACTTCACAAAAGGAGATGGAACTGGAGGTAAGGCTGATAACACAGCTAGTTGTAAACCTGAAAGTGGAATTAATGATAAGAATCCAGTTCTATAACAATAACAATAACAATAACACTTCAGTTCTTCAACCTCATATCCAATACAAAACCCTGTAACTGTTCTTATTTAGATCTTATAACCATTTTTCTCCCAATATCTAATTTGTTATTTCCTTACTGCTTGTCATGCAATTCTTACAATTTTACTGTGGAGAATTTGGTATTGGCTCAACCCATAATCCCCAATTAATATTTTCCTTTATTCTCATCACTTGTCTGTTTGATATTGTACTGATATTTGAAAGAGAAATTCTGTCTTTCTCACTCATGGGAGTTAAAGGGTTAAGAAGGAAAAGTAACCTCTAACCTGTACACTTTGCCAAATGTAGAGGATAAATGTTTTGGCATAAACCCTTCCTGACACTTTAAACTATGATAGTTGTAAAGCATGACAATGAGACATCTGTGAGGACATTGGAAGGCTTGCATGAAGACCAGTCCATTCAGACTCCACACCACCCTTCCCCCCCCCTTCCTCACCCTTGCCTCCCCCCTACCTACCCTTTTTGCACCCCACCCCACTCAATCCAAACATCAGACCAATGATGGCCCTTATAATCTTTTACTCTGTCTTGAATGTTTTTCCTAATTAAACTTTTGAGAAAAATAATCTTTATTTACCTATCAACCAGGTAAAAGCATATATGGTGATAGATTTGATGATGAGAACTTTAAGTTGAAGCATTATGGTCCAGGCTGGCTGAGTATGGCTAATGCTGGTAAAGATACCAATGGCTCACAGTTCTTTATCACGACTGTAAAAACTAGCTGGTTGGATGGCAAACATGTTGTTTTTGGGAAAGTTCTTGAAGGAATGGTGAGTTCAGAAATATATATCATTGTTTTCTTTGAAGAACAACGTTTTAGAATTTCAGAATTTTGAATTTTTTCAGAATTGTGATCAAACTGAAGAATTCAGAGATCTTTTCGATTGAGTGTCATAAAACCAGTAATCATAACAGCCAATTAAAAGAAAGGATAATACCTTCAAGAGCCAATGACATCTCTCAGTAACACAACCTAACTGCGTTAAGTGCAGCCTGGAAAATGCTGACGACCAAGCAGTGATTGGTTTTAGTTTTGCCTCTGACTGGTAGAGAAAGTGGTATGAGTTTTTTGGACCAACCTCAGGGAGAAGTAAAGCAAACACAAACAAATCCTGGATTTCTGAACCTCAATTGAAAGTTGCTCTATCAATTAACCTCACCAATTCCCCGATCCTTTTTCCTAATAATTGCTATTCCCAGGAAGGTTGTAACGAGTCTGAGACACACTAGGAAAGTTAAATTCTGGTACCAAAGTGGATTTTTATTTGTCAATTGTGTCACTGAGATGTTGGAGTTCAAGATATCCCTTGTAAATGTGTCTTATGAGGGCAATTACTCATGCTAGATTAGACATGGTTTGATGCTACTCTGGTTTTGTAAACTAGAGTAGCATTAAACCTTGTCTAATTGTCCACCTGGTTACCATGTGAACTTTAATATATTTCGTACTAGATTCTTACCAACCAAACGTCCCACTTACAAGTTACTAGGAGAATGACTATATGTAATATGTTTTTAGCGTATCTTACACAATGCTCGCCAAAACAGTTACTAAGTCAATTGCACTGTTCTTAAAATAATTCTCACAGGATGTTGTACGCAAGGTAGAAAACGTAGAAGTGGACGGGAGTACTCCAAAGAAAGAGGTGAAGATCGCAGATTGCGGAGTTATTGAGGTTGATAAGCCCTTCAACGTGGAAAGGGAAGATTAGCACCAGTCTCTCTTCAGTGTGTTTTGTAATGCGCAAGGATTTTTAATAAAATACAGTTATGAATTTGATTTGACTGCTCTGTGCTCGAGCATTCTGCAAATTCCAGTGCATTTCATCTCAGTGTCTCAGAAAGAAATCCAACATTGTGTCTTTGTTATTTCGTTTGTTTAATGACAAATGAACCATCTTTCCTTGGCACTCAGATAAACAAAACCTTAGAGTAGATTCATCGGTGAATTTACTTTACGTAGAAACTCCCTCTCTGGCTGTCTCTGTTGCTAACTAAGCACAAATGTAATCAGTGTTTGTTTGCTATAAACCGGCGATTAAGAGAAATGCGATGTGGGTGTGTAGTATTAAAGGTGATCGCTGTCGTGTTTCCTTGTAATCATTGTACAAGTACGCATTTTCTCTTGATCAAACTTGGACAAAACTATCTTGGGTTGCGTGAGAAGTTGTTCCTACAGAAGAGCATTATCGCTGGGAAGAAAGAAAAAAACTTGAAATGTATTGCATACATAAAATTTCAGAATCGAGTTGGGAGAAATAGGCTAAATAAGAGAAAAGAGCGGCTAATCTCGTCTTCTTTCGTCCAAGATAAGATAAATTTACTTATTTCGGGTGAGTCAATCAGACTTTCAAAGAAAGTCAGTTTTCTTTTAGAAGAATGGATTGAAGGCATCTTATGCACAGAAATGACCCATGAAAATCATATATGTGAGTGCGGATAAAGACGTGAATATGAAAGCAATAACGGCCTGCGTACACATTCACCCCGACAACCAGCTTCGTAACTCTGCCTCCTTTGCAAACTGAACCTCTCCAGGGACCACACCGTCAGTTAGCATCGAGAACCACGGGTGACAAGTAGTGGTGTGGTACCCGGCGAAGCACACTTTGTAAAGAAGACAGGGTTACCAAGCTTTGTCGTGGTGAATGTGTACGCGGGCCGTCAGAAATGGCTGAACTGGAAATGCGGCTTGGCGTCGGTTTCACGGGGAAGATTGAATTTGTAGTGAATTGAAATGAAACTATCGTATATGTGCTTGGATTCTGCGTTGGAATTGTGGCCTCCCGGTCTTTTTGAGCTTGTATTTTTCGCTTCTCGGATCGAGCATCCGGAAATCTCAGGAGTGTTCTCTTATGTGGTAAAACTCGCCCGAATGGGTTTCTTTTCAACATAGTAAGCGGCAGGAGCCCAGGAGACTCCCGTAAGCGGTCAGATAACAAGTGATATACTGTGGAAGTAAGGTGAGGTATTTTTATTGAGAATATGACTGTATTTTTTTTATTCCTGAGAGCGGTCGTAAATATTCCTGTACAAACTCTAGATGTTATAATTTCGCCATGACTTCCTATTTTGCAAGATGATCATCTCACAGTTGGACCTTGGGCCGCCTGTGAAATGACCTGAAACTAAATTAATCGTGAAAGTTCTAAGAATTTAAGAGCTTTCCGAGAAATGTGGATCTCCTTATTTCTGATTGGAAAATTCGTGTACCTGTAAACATTTCCGGTCAGGAGATGGCTTCCCATTGGATAATGCAACATTTAGTGGGTTGTGCATCTACACAGTTCCTCATTATATTGAATAATTCACCGATTCCGTGTGAGGTTTCTGTAGTTTTCCAAAATCACTTTTAAATTCTGAACTTTCAGTTCTCAACGTCGAAATATGTCGAGTGGAAAGGTAAGTGTCTGAGCGAAATTCAGAGATTTCGGTCAAGTCAATTAGGCTTAGGAATAATGCACTGTGTCTAATTGAGAATTCAGAAGAGGAGTTCGATTTCGGATTGTTATGTCTAACTTTTCATTCGTATTCTGATGGTTTTAAATTACTTTAATGGTAATGCTATGTTCTAACCGAACTTGCCTTGGCTTTCGGTGGTAGCTGTTTTGATGAAATGTCACTTCCGTATTGCGGATGAACTCTCCGCGCTTCGTGACATTTTTATTGAGGCAATTTTGCTAAATTTTTACATATATTCACAAATGAAAACCCTCTGGATCCGATATTATCTGACAGACTCCTTCGCCAAAGGGGAATAAGTTAGGAAGAAGTGAAATGAACATATGAATTGGCGAACTCAAATACGAGATAAACACGTTTTCTCATCGACAACCGACAGGAAAATCACTTTGGCATAATGTATATGACAAGACCCGTTTGGAAGTGACGACCTTGTAAAGATCAATGTAGAAGACAGAATGTTCACTTCATCATGGTTCTTTTAGTTCATTTTGAGTGAGATGCGAAAATCTCCAACAATTTGAAAAAATTAATCATAAGATATTTGTAACTTTCTTCAGCATCGGTAAAGGCCCGTTTAAACGGTTTCAACATTTGCTTCAACTTGCATTCAACGCTTTGTTGAACCAAATGTTCGGTGCGTTTGAACAGGTCGTCCAACATTGTTGAAAACGTAAAAATGTTGAAAGCTTGTTGAATCAAGGTTAAATCGGTTTAAACTTTCATTCGGTTTTCCCTTGTTCTCGAAAATGTTGAATGGTCCGTTTAAACGGTTTTGACATTTACCCAACATCCGTTCAACTTTTGTTGAACGAATGTTGGTCAAATGTTGAAACTGCTGAAACGGGCTTTAACATGATCTAAAATTGTCCGCTAAGAAAAGCCAATTGGTCGAAGTCTGATGGTCAGCGAGAGCTAAGAATCACAGATCAAGACTCTTATTCCTCCATGCTAGAAAAGCTTCCTTCTATGATTGTTCAAAGATTAGATTTAGTCAGGGGCCTCTTGCTCTCGGTTACTCTTTCTTGACAAAAAAAGGAAGTTTTCCTGACGAAAGCAAATTCATAAAGCAGATTATCAGTACAACATTAAAGTTGTTCCTATGAAAGTTTGCCTGACTGATTTAGCCAAGACGCTATACAAACAATCCTTTCTTCAGCAAGGCTATCGTCACTTGACGGTAGAAAAAGTGGCTACGATGTAAACCCAAGTGCAATGTGGTATATGTTTCTGTGTTTGTCTTACACCAATTTACGGGAGTTTGAGAGTGTTTTGTTAGTATATTCTATATATGGTACCCTTATCAAGTGAACAAGTTGAGTTGTAAAAATTGTAACCTGAATTCAAAAGTAGTGGTATTGACTGATGCCTTCACAAGAAGAGCGCCGAATAAAATAACGTGGTTTTAACTATACATTCCATTGCTTATATTTACGTCAGACACCATACCAAGGAGATAGGCGTTGCTTTGGAGAATACAGATGTCCTGAGTGTAACCGTGGGTGGATGAGCGCCAACAGCTGGGCTAACACTGGTCAGCAGTGTCAGAATTGTAGTATTGTGGTGTACCCGCATACGCAGCGTCCACTGCATAAACCTGACGGGCTAGACAAGGGAGATGTCTCTAAACAACACCCTCAGCACTTGTGTGAGAAATGCAAGAGACTGGGGCACTTTTGTGGAGATCGTGACCGTTACCACTGAAGAACTGTTACCAGGGCTTACCGTTTGATTAATCATAATTTCTGGACGAGATACATGAACTGATTTATAAATGACGACAATGTAATTTCTTTAGAATTTTTAAAAGGCTTTACTTATACGATAAGCAGCTGAGAAAATACAAGATAGGTAAAAACAACAAAACCAGTATCCGTAAGAGTGGCAATTTCACTAATATTTTAAAAAATGTTTAAAAGAACAGGGCATTTCGCAGTAAACTTTTCAAGAATACTGGTAACTACATTGAATTATTAATTTCATATTGTCAATTTTTTTCCTAAAGAAGTTTTTCTGGGAGTTTCTTGGGAGTCTGTAACGTATTTATTTCGGTGGAATAGTGGTCAATCATTGTTAGGACTGTGCTTCTTCGGGGCGTAGTGATGAACATAGCGAGGGAAAAAGTAAAAGCTACACAAAAATAAAGTGAAATAAGGCTTCTAACCCATCGACTGTTGTACTGTGCTTAAGTTAAGAAACATTATGTATGATTCACAAAAATTTCATCCCTACTGCCTAAAACAGTAAGTCAAGTACCTCAGGGTGACATTTTGGTGCAAAACTGAACCCATTGTGAATTTTGTTCGCAGCTGATACAAGAGAAAACCGTCCTTCTTCAGCTATCCGCTTTCCATAGTCCTCGATCGACCTCTAAAAGGCGTACTCACCTTCTTTTAGCCTTTATTTTAGTAATAATAACAACAACAACAACAACAAATAATAATAATAACAATAATTTTATGAACTTATGAGCGCTTACTACATGACGTAATAATCGCATACAAATTGACCAATACTTGAAGAGTTTAAACGAGGCTTAAACAACTATTTAAATCATTTTCAAAACATGGATGTAAGATCTAGAGGCCAGAGAGTGAATTCCAGAGTGTGTTGAGGCAAAAATGTGTTGATTTACAGTTCTGGAATTCGAGGGGCGGATAAAGAAGGAGAGACTACGGGAAAAACAAAGCTTTGTTCACTTCTCTCCATGCTGCCCTTTCGTTTGTATATATTTCAGTCGTCCTCACTGAATGCCTTCAGCTCTTCTGCCGGGCAAATGCGAGACAGCTAGAAATAAGCCACCAACTACAACTGAGGTCTTGTTTGTCGTTGAATCTTTTCTTGATCCTTCCTGTCAGGTATGAACAGATCACCTCAGCTTGGTCAAAGTGAGGGTAGACTTATGAATAAAGTGGGTGAGTTTCTAAATAAACTATGGTGCTGCGTTGGTGGGAGAGTATAAACGGTAAATTAGTGTTAACAACTGAGTTGAAAACGTAAATTGACCACTGAGAAGAGTTTAAAGGCTGATGTTTCAAGAGTTAGCCCTTCGTCAGAGCAATTGACGAAGGGCTAACGCTCGAAACGTCAGTCTTTAAACTCTTTATGGTGGTCAATTTATGTTTTCAACACAGTTGTTAACACTAAATTACCTGAGGGTAGACATAGTACCCAAGCATGTAAAAATTAAAATCACTTTTGCCATTCTCGTATAAAGCAGCAACTTACTTCGTTAACAGACAACATAAAAGCTGGATGGTGATATATTTTCCGGATGTTTTAAAACGGGCGCATATTTAAAACGTGAAATACTGCATCAGTGTTCGTTTGTCGAAGCCGATAATAAATTTCCGGCCATTAATTTGCACACAGATGTGCCACCACCAAATAGATTGTTGGGGAAAAATCAGATTTTCATAAAACATGTCCATGTGCCTGTTTTTAACTAGCCAGACATTCCTGCCAAAAAAAAAGTGGCTCTAAAAAATTATATTCTCGCGACAAAAGAATATAAGACCATATTTTTATTGCTAGAAAAACGAGCTTGCATTTCGGCAGAAACAATGCGGACAAAATAATGAAAAAGTAAGAGGAATTTCTTCATAATTCCATTCGTTTTTTTTATGTTTTATTAAAAGAAAACGTACCGGCCAATTGTTAAAAAGGTGTTGTTGTACCTTTCCTTGATATATCCTTTTAAAGCAAAACTACTACGCCCCCCCCCACCGTCCTGAATCTCACCACCCTACTAATGACGGAACAGAGTCATGACAATCACATGACTTCCTCTTTCGTGAGGAAATGGTTCCCAACATGGCGGGCTATGTTGAATTTCTAAGAAGGTTTCTTATATTTTTTGTTGCCTTTCTTTGTTTATCATCAGCGACTGTGCCTAAGGATCAGCAAAGAAAGGTAAGATGGGCATATAGATGCAACTTTTCTGTGGTCTGGATGGTGTTTTGAAACATTTTAGTCCTGAATCAACGAAGGCTTGCATTGGCTCTGACTGTCGTTCATAATTTCTCAGATAACATACTTGTAGTCCTCTTTACGATAAACAGACAAACAGTTTGCACAAACGTTAAGATAGCATGTGAAACCGGAGGGACATTACCTGGGCACAGTTTGACGATAATTATCACTTGCAAATTGTAACTCCTAAGCGGAATGGACCACGAGCTCGAGTACATATATATCGTATATAAATCCTAGAAGACAAATCTACTTGACAAACCAGTTGTTTGAAAGAGAAAACCTTAAGAGATGTCACATAAAAAACAAACATTCATATAAAATGTCGCTCTTAAAAAAATTTGCAAAAATTTGATGAAAAGTTGTGGCCTTATGTGTTAGCCAATTTTTGAAAGAAACTGAACATTAAATCCATCGAGAAAAAAGCAAAGACTATACACAAATATGTAAGTGACAAAGCTAATTAGTGGGAGTTATATTTAATAGATATACTTACACTTAACCCTTTAACTCTCAAGATCTGATCGTATATTCTCCCCTCAAGCTGCTACACATGAAATTTTCTTCGTAAATCAGTGACAAGAATTTGGTGTTAGTTCTACCTGATAAGTTTGAGTCTTCCCATTACATGTTTTCTGGATAATTAATGTCTGACTATTTAAGGGAGAATTTACAAGGTGATCATCTCTGGGACATAAATGGTAATTTCAATTGAAATTTCCAAGAAAAGTTGATGCATACTAACAGCACAAAGAAATTCAAAATTCTAAAATTTAGAATCTTGTTCTACATCTTAAATATTCCATAAATTTTTTGTTTCTTTGCAGATTACCATTAAAAGTATACCATGCCCAACAAGTATAACAGAGTGCAGTAACACAACTTACATCATTCATGTTATTGCTGAGAGTACAGATAAACAGAATTCCATGCACTATCTTTGGTCTGTCATTGGTTCTCCAACTATTATTGCAGCTTACTTTGACAGTACAGATGTTAATGTATCAATTGATTGGAACCATGTCTTGAATAACAATTCCACAATGGGAATTACGTTTACACAAACAAGTCTTCACGTCACAGCACTTGTTATTCCAGCTATTTATGAGTTTCAGGATAAAAAAGATGAACTGTTTTACACTGAGAAAGATGTTGTGAACACTATTGTGAAACATGGCTTCCAGGATGAGGTAACACACTGGGAAGAACCTGAAATTGATCACAAAAACAATGTGACAACTTTTAGAGGGAAAATGTTGGGAGGAACAGTTATTTTTCAGGTAAGAGATGATAGTAATAATAGTGCCAATGATAGTTAAAATAATGGATCAGTGTTAGTATCTGAACAAATGTGTACCTACCCCTCCCTAACCCAACATTAACCCGAAGTTGTTATCAGTCAATTGTTGTCAGGTTAGGGGAGGGGTAGGTATGCAGTTGCTCAGACACTGACATTGATCCCTTTGTTTAACCCTTAAACTCTTATGTTTGACAAATTCAGAATTTCTCCTTAGAATATCGATAGAATTTCAAGTGATAAGAATAAAGAAAAATATCAATTAGGAGTTTATCAGTTGATCCAATATTAAACTATCCAAAGTAACATCATAAGGGAGTAAGGTTCTTAAGAAACTTTAGCACTGCAATTGATTTGATAGTGTAAGTTGGCCACTGTAAAGAGTTTCAAAGCTGACGTTTTGATTATGAGCCCTTCATTTTTCACTCTGACAAAGGGCTAACACTCAAAACATCAGCTTTGAAACTACCGTATTTATTCGACTATAAGCAGAGTAATTTCTACATAAATCAAAACTGAAATGAATGAAAATTTGGGATCCAAGGGGGTCTCAGCTCATAGCCAAAAGTTTTTGATTAATAATTACATCATCAACTCAGTTGATAATGTAATATTCTATGGCACAGAGATTGACTCTGGCTTGGTTGATTTGGTGATCTCCCTGTGGGGGAGTATACAGTTCTCCTGTGTTGCTACCTTAACAGTACCTTCTCTCTATTACTGCCACTGAAACAAAAATTAACCACCTTTTATATTTGTTTCTACAGTGCAATGCATCAGCAATCAAGGACAGAGAGTCAATATTGCCACATCAACAATTTTCCAGCAATTCTACAGTTTTTACACTGACACTTCACAAGTTAACAAATCTCCAACACAAAGGGCATACTCGATTTATATTTGAATTGGTCTCATTTTCTGAGGATGACAGCTCCACTTGTGTTATAGCTCAAAAGTCTCTTGATGATGAACACACTCCAGCTGTTTTTAAAACCATTGTCATCAACAGTACACTTGGCAGTCATTCATCATACAGTGCATGGAAACCTGTAGCCTACCTGAAAGAGTCAAGGAAACTAAGTAACCAAGTCCCTTCTTTTTCATATTTTGGCAATCAGCATCGGTTTATCAATAATAAACAGTGTCAAACTCTCCCATCATCATCCTCTACAGAAGACTTCATCAGCATAGTTTCACATCTGAAGGGGAACTTCATATCAAGTCAAATGAATATTTCCTTTGGACAACAAAAAGATGGCTGGTATGATGGCCCAGAGGGTTCCAGATATCTCACATGGTAATCCTATTGATTTACTGTTATTATTATTATTGATATGGTCATTTTTTTTAAGTGCTTTGTTATCTCTCTGTGACATCATATACAACTATAATCTGTTCACCCAATTACTGAGGAAAACTTCTAGATAAAGAAGGCCTTATGATGTGTTCTTTCCAGTTTGTAAGCATCTGTTAGTTTTTCCAAATGTGAGCAGCCATTTGCCAGTTTCATGATCTTCACTTTCATATTGTTGCCCTGTGTAAAGCCTTTCTATGGAAACAAGTTTTATTGCATAACAAAAAATATAATTTACAGGAGGGCCTCTAGCAAATGATCTTTATTATTAACAGTTGTA